GTATATTAAGAAATTTTTTCAAAAGATATAATGTCCGTGTAGAATCGGAAAACGCTCTACCTCTCGGGTATTTTTAATCCTAGCAAAGCTTGAAGTCACAGTGACGCCTATGGATGAAATCAATGAATGCAAAAGAACGCCGAAGAAGGCTCTTTACCGGAAATGGTTGGTAAACAACCAATCACCCTCCAAACTCACCACTTGTCACTTTTACTTTTCCCCATGTTAGGTTCTTCCATTGCCACTGAACATTATTATAGTTATCCTATCTTTGCTTAGGCTTTTTTTGCACGTGTCATCTCCTTTTGGTCTCTATCCTTCGCACGTGCCTCCCCAGTCCATTCCTACCCACTGTTACTATATGTCCTTTCTATTTATCATGGCATGAAAATTCTTTGGCAGGTTGGATCAGTAAAGCAATTTTATGGCAAATTTGGTTAATAAATTTAGAACAATTAATGGCTCTGATACCACTCGGGTGTGTTCACTGAACCGGACCAAACTAACATAGTCTGATATTCAAGGCTTTAGTTCAAATAAGGCCACTTATTCTCAACTCATCAACGGGTCACGTTAGGACTCTCAACTTTAAATATTAGATCTAGGATAACTGGAAGGATTGTCACCAAACATTATATTTGTGTTTTATTAACTATATTTTGTTAGATCATATTTAATTTTTATACAAATATTTTATTTATCCGTGAATTAATATTTTTATTTAAATATTAATCTTATTATATTACCTCTAATCCTTAATATAAGACTTTTATTTTGGTTCTAAATATAACACCCCCAATCCATTTTGTCTATCATATTTATTTTTTTTTTTCAAAATAATCTTTCTAATAATATAGTTTTGGACTTCTGGCCAATACACTTGATTAGTAAAGATGTTTTAAGAAAGACAACACCTATTTATTACAAATAACTAATTTAACTTATTTTTTAATTTCTTCACATTAGCTAATTAGCTCTTATAATTAGGATAGGAGGTTGTATGTAAATAATTTTGTATATTTTAATTAAAATATTTTTTTTAATCTGATTAACCAGCTCCGTGATTGACCGGCGCGATTTTCAATTCATCCTTGTTACTCATCAATCCCATCACACTTCTTTCTTTCTGCTCCTTATTTTTCCTTTTTTTTCTCTTTTTTTAAAAAAATAATTTTATCTGGAAGACTAGAAGGTTAACATTGCAGATTTTATCATTACGTCATCCATTTTTGTCTTTATCTGCCACGTAATTTGTGGGCTCCACATAAGTCTTCGAGTTAATCTTTTGGGTCCCGCTCTAAATGTTCTTCCACGTGGATACGCACCTCACCGCATATAATATTTTTTTAAGGAAAAAAAAAAAAAGATCGTTAGATATTTCATTAGGATCAGTTCTCCACGCCGTACCTTTTTATTTTTTCCGTGAGTTCTCCATGCTTCATCAAACTTGGAAAGAAAATAATTGTTATATAATTCATCAATTATATATTTTATTAGAATTTATATATTACCTCATGTCCTAATTATAAAAACTAATTGACTAATTTAAAGAGATTAATAAAAAAATTAAGTTAGTTATTTGTAATAAATAGGTGTTATCTTTCCTAAAATATCCTTGCTAATCAAGTGTATTGGCTAGAACTACCATTGTTAGAAGAATTACTTTTGAAAAAAATGTATAAATATAAGAAACAAAGTGAATTGGGGTCTTATATTTATGACCAAAATAAAAATTAAATAATGTCTTATATTAATAACCGGAGATAGTAGTTTTTTATGTCCTAAACATAAGACTCACTTTATAACACTAAAAAGTGAATCTTATATTTAGAATAAGAGAAATAATATTTAATAATTTTAAATTAAATTACACAAAATCTTTCAAATTTGGTATCATAGATGAATAGGCTCCCTAACATTTCAAGTTTTACAGTAAACCTTCATAATTTTTTATATTTCTACATATAACTATTAATTTTATTCAGTATTTATCAATAAATTTCTTAAAGTTTAAGATATTCACATGCATATAACTCAAAGTGTCAGGGGGTTATATGTATATGAAAAATAAAGTTTAATGGGATAAAAATTGATAATTTAGAGTTATATTCATATAGAGTTAGAAATCTAAGGGATTTATTATGTAGTTTTAAAAATTAAAAAGATTATTTTTACATAGTTATAAGTTTGGGAAAGTTTATATAATTTAGTCATAGTTTTATTATTCAATATATTTAGTTAGTAATCAATATTTTATAGTAGTAGATATTATTGTGAATTGCACAAATTTGTTGTTATTACTCAGAACAAAAAAACACGAGGACACGCACACTCTTATCCGTTAATATATTTTTTCAAAAAAATATTAATGACTTCTTAATTAAATTTTGATATACACACATTAAAAGTATATAATATATTTTTACGTATAATATTTACAAAAATAATATTTAGAGGGTAAGAAAAAATATGTTTTTAATTGTCCAGGTGAAGTTACGTTGTAGAGGAGAAAAGAAAACGACGTTTGATAGAGAGATCTGATGAGACGTGAACATTAATCTCACGTAATCCATTCTAATTAACATTAACATTAAAATTACTTTAATTTAATTCATATTATTAAAGGGAAGCCCAGAGCCACAAAGCAAAACAATAATAATAATAAATTATTTAATATCCCTTATTCTCGACCTTTCACATGCATCGACAATTTAAAATTACTAACACATGGATGCGTTAGATGCTTGGATTCTGCTATACTCTTCTCTAATATATTATTAATATAAAAAAATTTAAATAAAAAAGCACACAAACATGCACACAGAAACACATGAACAAGCATGCCTTTGCGTACCCAACCGAAGTTTCCTTTTTGTTTTCAAAAATAATTTATAGAAAACCGGCTGAATGAAAATAATAAGCATTTGTTTTTTTTAGTTTTGTTTTAATTCTCTCTTAGGTCTGAATAGAAAATAATGTTTTTAATTTTGATATTATTCAAAGGTGGCTAGTCAACTATGTTCCACGAGTCTTAAATAATTGCTTTAAATGGAAACTCTAGGGTTTTGAATATGCAGATCATCAATATGAACACAAAATGGTGCGCAGACAAATCACTACCAACAACAACACAGTATAAACGGAAATCATGATTAATATGATTAAGATAATTAAATTCAGATTTGACACGTTTTATTGTTGGTTAATTATAAACAATTTGCAATAAATTAAATGTATATTCATAATGAAATGGAAATATAGATAGACATGCATTTTCATTTTGAGTCATGATGAGTAAGCAAGCTAAATAAAGATACAAAATGTAAGTACTAAAAAACAAATACGGTTTTTGATTCATTAAAGCTATATTTAGAATGGCATCTGATAACATGCTTGAGGCAGCGGTGTTTTGGCAGTTATCTATTAATGAGTTTTAGGCTGATAAGACACCGTCTCAGATTCATGTGGGAATCCGAGCTTTCTGCTAACAAAACACCATCTCAAGTTCATGTGGAAATCACTACAGACCATATTTATGTATAGAAACTAAAAAGCATCCATTTTTCCAGAACAGGGTTCCAAAAATATTAGCTAGATATCCTCAAGAGATTAAGAAGAAACTCTTTAGGATTTGAATAAGCAAAATTAAGTGCACATGTGTTTGATTAATTTTCCTAGAAAAAGTTTTCAACCCAAAACTTTACCCAGAGTTTCAAAATTGATCAACTCAAAATATTATTAAAGATGCTTTTTGAAACAAATGAGCAATATATCCATTTTATAATGTTACATTCAAAACTTATCTTTTGACAAGTTGAAAATTATCTCCATATTCATCAAATCCAGCTCCTCCTCCTATAGCTACCTTCTTCAATTCCCAGGGAAAAAAAAGCAGAGAATCATTCAAAATACTTTGACTGACCCACTTGTTGTTCCAAGTTTAGAAAAATAAGCACAAGGAATTGGATCTCTGAGGGAATTGTAACTACCCACCTTATCAGTGAATAATTGTTTGGTAGGTATACTAAGGAAAAAAAATTTCATATATAATATACAAAAGAGGTGATAAATTATATATTCATTATCCCTTCCTAACAGCACCTGTCTTTGTCATTAAGTGTGTTTCTTCTCTAGATACTTCGATTTACATGCACAAGATGTTTAATTTATTATACTTTTGCAATTTTTATTCCATAATCTATATTTTTTATTTAATTTTATATTAAAAATAACTATTTTATCTATTTTCTTTTTGTATACACTTTGTATTTTGTATCTAGAAAATATATAAATGTGCAATAAGCTGGGTTTTATTTTTTGACACAAAAACACTCGGGTTTCATCCCATCTAAATATTGAATTGTGTCGTTTCGCTGGCCAGAGCGTATGATGATATAATTTAATTATATGCGTGCACACACATACCATTTAAAAAAATTAAGTTTTTTTTTAAAATTAATCTAACTATGTGATAGAACATGACATGTTTTTACGTAGCAAGATTGTGATAAAACCAGGGAAACACTATGATAATAGTTAAAGGGATGGAACTCCCAAAAGGAAAAGGATCATCATCATCATGCTCATAGTCATCATCGATATAATTTAAGGCAGGGGTCGATTTATCATCTGATCTTATTTTTCAACTACATCCAATATCCTGATTTTTTGTACGGTGCATCAAACATTCTGATTTTTTTTTTGGATATATCTAACATTTTAATCTTATTTTTGATGTATCCAACCCTCAAATCAATAACTTAAAAAATAATATCAGGATATTCGAGGCATCAAAAAAATAAGACTATGATATTAGGTATAACTTAAAAAATAAAATCAAGGTGTCCAATACATCAAAAAAATAAAATTAGGGTATTCGATGCATTATACTAAAAACTCAGAATGCTAAGTGCAGTTAGAAAAAAAAATTAAGGTAATGAATGCGTTTTTACCATATAATTTATTTCATAATCTAAAAAAAGAAATAAAAAAGAAGATAATTAGGAAAAATCTATGCAATTCGTTATTATTACAATAGTAAAAATCCGTGGCCGTAAAGCTGAAAGCAAACCACTTAGGGGAAAACGTATGCTTCATCCGTAGAATGAGTAAACATCACTATATCACTTCAAACTTTAAACCTTAAATGCTGCTTTGTCCTTTCCTCCGTTCCCAAACCTCAACATCTTTACATAATTATACTATATTATTAATGATAATGATTAAATAATAAATACCGCTAAAACTGAAACCTTCATCAACTTGCAAGTTTAAGGAATTAGAATGTTTTGTTTGGATTTTTCAAGAAATTAAAATTAAAAAAAATAAAACTATGTATTTAATTAAAAAAGCAAAAAAGGAAATAAAAAAGAAAGAAAGAAATTGTCATGTATGATCAGCCTGGACCGGATGGAGGAGGGTAGCCACTAGTATCTGACCAAGTTGACGCCGGAAAGTGTGACCCACCGCCGATGTCGCCGCCACTGCCGCTCTGTGCGTTTCCTGGTGGCCGGAAGTAACCTGAATGCTGACTGGAAAACAGGGGAAATGAAGCAGAGGATAGCTGGCTTGAAGGTGAGAATGCTGTTGGGGACGAAGAAGAAGACAGGGGTGACGATGATAATAACAAAGAAGACGATTGAAGCGCCGCCAATTGTGAATTGTATAACCATTGTTGTAACAAATTCGAATGTTGTTGTTGGGATTGCTGACGTTGTTGTTGTTGTTGGAACTCGTCGGAGCTCTGAAGCAGCTGAGAATATTCCCAATAATCTCTGATTAAATCCGGTGGCGTCTGAAAAGACGGTGACTGTAAGAACTGCGGCTGCGGTGGAGGAGGTGGAGGAGGAAGATTAGGAGTCTGTTGCTGGAAATGAATCGCCCGAGAATCCGATGCCGCGGGGCGAGTGGCAGGAAAGTTGTGAGCAGGGGGTACTACTCTGACATTTTCCGGGAAATTCAGCTTTGCTCTGTTTCCTCGGAATCTCAATGCAGCTTCATCGTAAGCTCTGGCGGCAGCCTCCGCCGTGTCGAATGTACCAAGCCAGACTCTCGCCGCCTTGTGCGGATCACGAATTTCGGCTGCCCATTTCCCCCACGGTCTTTGTCTCACTCCTCTGTACCTTCTCCTCCTCTCACCGCTTTCCTCAGCCGTCGCTGCCGCCGTCTCCACTATCACACCGGGTGCAACATTCGTCCCCTCCTCTGTCACTGCAAGTGAAAAAAAACAAGAATTACTCATAAAACATATCCATAAATTCACAAATGCCATTTCAATGTTCTACTTCTGCCATTTCAAAATTCTAGAGTAATGTGATGTAAATGCACCAGAAGATGATTGTCCCTGCGAGGGGACTCTGAAGTCAGTGAAAGCTCCATAGACACAGCTCTGCTGGTCACGTGCTCGTTTTTGGCCAGCGGAAGCGGTAGAACCAGAAGCAGAGCTCAAAACAGAGCCTGAAGCAGAAGAAGATGAAGAAGAAGAAGAAGACAAGTAAGGCGACAAAACAGAAGAAGAAGGAAGCGAAGGCTGGACAAGAGGTGACGTCACAGGTATCCATTCGGTGCGTCCCTGACCACCAGATCCAGATACCACATGCGTCAGCGCTGAAACCATCGCCGTCAACTCGCCTGCTCTGTTATATCTAGAAAACACAGCGTCCTCTTCTTCCTCCTCCTCCTCAGCCGCCGCCGCCACCGCCGCAGCTGGGTTCAGTACTTCTTCCTCTTCGGCGGCGCCGTCATGGCCCGTCAACTTCGCCAACTCACCTGAATCCCGTTGGTGCGCCACCGTTTTGTAAAAGCATGCAAAAATGAACTATCCCTCTTTCCTTGTTCCAATCAAAAACAAACCCAGAAAAATCTAGATCAAGGTGTGTTTATATATCGACCGAGAATTTTTCTGGTCTTTTTCCGGAGACCTGTTTGGAAATATCACTAATAAGAGAACAACGCTTACATATATATAAACCAGGAAGGAGAATTCAAGCACGAGTGTGCGCCTCCTTTAAAATAGTACTCTCGAGTTGACAAAACCCTCCATCATCCACCATGCAACACCACCTTCTCACAAAAAAAATTCTCCATTTATATTCTTCGGATAATAAATATTCAACATATTCCTTTTTTTCTCGAATTTTCTCTTCCCGGAAAATTGAAAATCACTAACCCAAATATATAATAAATAGACCTCACTTGAAGGGGTTTTTGACCCTGAAATTAAAACTGATGGTAAAGCAAAGTTGATGAAGTTCTGAAGACTATGTCGGTGTTTATTTTAACAGAGAGAGAAGCGGATGGCGAAAACAGAGTGATCATCTTTCAATTGAATTTTTTTAACTGGACTAAGCTAAAAGCAGCCAAGTTGTGTGTTTATTTTATTTTTAATTTCGTTTTGTTTTTATATTCTGGATACCGACATGGCAAACGATTGCGTGGCTGATTGTGTCAAGCTTACAAGTTACCAGAATAACTAGGATTAACTCACAATTAATAAATTAATCAATCAAGGTAAGTATGGTGAAAAAATATCTACAGAATATGCTAGAGACTAAGAGTTATTAACAAGTGGAATGAATCGTATGGATTACCTTGTGCATAGAATATAAAGTTAAAAGGCACGAACATAAAGGAGTTAACAACCAGTGTGGATTAGGTTTACAACTGTACCTTTCCTTTTCATCTTAGGTTCAACATCATAATTTTATTTCTCATGTGTATCCTACAATCTTATCTTTTATGTAATACATTTAATATTTTAATCTTATTTTTTCATGTATTTGGTACCCTCATTTTTTAGTACATTAGCACTGAATGCAACTAAATAATAATATCAAAGTACTTGAAACATTAGAAAAATAAGATCAGAATGTTGAATACATTTAAAAAATAAAATTAGTATGCTTGATTTGCCTTTACCTTTTATTGTATTTTAGGATAAATATAATGGTAGGAATTAG